GGGCCCGGAACAAAGAAAAAGCAACTCCCATGTATGTGATCAGCCAGGCATGGAACGAACTGTGAAGAGCTAACTGATATTGACAGGACTCCCTCATCGCACGGGACACGTGGCAAGCCACCCGAAACAATGGCTGTGATTGCGATTGCCGAGGAGTGTTGAGAAGCTCCATAATCGTTTGTTTGGCACCATTTGGAACAAATACGTGTAGAACACAGCCCATAAAGCGATGCCACCCTTTATTTGTTTTGATTCATCAGACTGGTCAAAGGAGAAACATTCCAGTCAGGTAAGGCTCTGGGGGTTGTTTTGGTGCCATTTCTGTGAACCGCGCAAGAGGCGCTGGCACCCCATGTCGAGTCCTGAAGGGTTCTCCAGGCACCTCATCATTTGGTCCGGCCAAGTCCCTTTTCAAAGGTGTTATGCCGTTACAGCCTCCTTCCTTCTCCTTCCCTTTTCGGGTTTCTCAGGGGCTCTGCCCACTTTGGCACTTGGGCCTCTGCCGCTACTGCGCGGCTCATGTCGTCCAGCGGCTTTGGGGTGGGGCGCTTGGGGTTGGGCTCTGCCGGCGGCGACACAGTGAAGCCGCCGTCCTCCATGGCTTCCGCGCCGAAGACCGGGAAAACGGGGGCAACGGCTTTGTTCGGGCGCGCAAAGCTGGCGGCGGTCGGATGTGAAAGACCGTAGCTCACATGGGAGCTCGGGATCCGCCCAGATTCGCTTCTTGATTCCAGTTGTCACTTCAGGCAACCGACCAACTGGCGCTAGCCTTTGCAAAGGAAATTGCTGGCTCCCTGCCAGATCCACCGGTTCCCAAAAACCAGTCACTGAAGACCTATGTGACCTGGCCATCCACCTGGCGAGAGTCACTTAGCTCGGCACCGCCAGTTTGCACAAAAACCAGAGTCTCTGCAGAGACTATCCTGGTGGTTCAAACATATGTTGGTCCTCTCCACAAGGAATTCCTGGCATGGAAACCTTCAAACATCCTACAGCAACGTCACAAACCACTTACTACATGAAGAACTGTAGCTCTACATAACCGCTGTCTCCACCCTTCCAACCACCAAACAGCTTCCAAGCCAGGCAGCCTCCCTGTCCCCAAATTTGGGCCTCTCTTCTGAGTTAACCACCAAATGGATGGCTCCCCTTCGGCCCGTTAAAAATCCTCCCCCTCTCCCTTAGAACAGCGAGCGGCTGTTGATGGGGATGTGCATGGGCAACGATCAAAAACACTGTGTTTTGCTGTGTTTATTGACCAAAACGATGCTGGGAACTACATTCCTGTGAGCACCCCTTCTCGAGTCTTCGGTTAAAAGAATAAACAATTCACGCGCCACCCTCGGGGAACCTCCCGGCCGCGAAGCAACCGCCTACCGAGTCTCTGGTGTGGACTCCGGCAGCTTGCCCTGGCACCACAAGGCCACGGTGATGCCCAGCAGAAGGACATTCACCAGCAAATACACGTGCATCTTGTACTCCTAAGCCCCATCCCGTTTCATCAGAGGCCTGTGACGATAATGTTTAGAGCCCGCGCTTTCCAGGAAAATGTGGCTGGGGCTTGCGACCAGAGAAACGCAGTTGGTTTACTGTCAGAGGCCGATGCTTTTTTTAGGTGTGGGAAGAGAGGGGGGTCCTGAAAAGTAGGCCATTTGGTCGAGACAGTGCAGGGTTTGGGAGCTCCTGAAAAGAAAGTCAAGCACATCCAAAGACAAACTAACGTTTAGATTCCCGATGATTTGGATGTTCGAAATGCAGGCCCTAGTACCCCGTTTCATTCCACGAGTACAAAAGCTATACCTGTCACATCCAACCACGACAGCCGAGAAATCATAGGTCTTCCCGTGGTCTCCTTACAAATGTAAAGTATCCTGCTGGAGCCAAGCAAAGGTTTTCTCTTTCAGCGGCGCAGGACGCAGGCCGTCTCCGTCCTGACGCAAAGTATGTTGAGTGATCCATCAGAGGTTGATCGTCATGATCCGTACAAGTAGCATACGCGCAGGCCCCGAGCTTCAAGCTGCCCGTCGTGCATGCCTTGCTGGCCATTCCTTTGTTTATCTCCCTTTCCCTCGCTGATGCACCTCACTCCGGTCGTCTGTCAGGTCGGATGTGGTGGCGCAAAAGTACACTAAATGTGCACCTGGATAGGACACCTATGACTTTCACACGTGTATATATATAAATAAATATATATATATATATATGAGGAGCGGACGAAACCCTTTACTTGGCCTTAGTACTTTTTTTAACGTCATCGTTTTTGGGGGAGACCTCATCGTTTTACAGTGTTTTCGAACTTTGGCAGATCCGGCTCCAAAATCGCAACTTTCTAGCACAAGTCTAGTACGCGAAGTACACTTCCGCAGCTCCAGCTCGAAATTCGCAACTTTGTAGTACAAGTCTAGTACGCGAAGTACACTTCCGCAGCTCCAGCCCGAAAATTGCGAAATACAATTCCGCAGCTCCAGCTCGAAAAGCGAAACTTGGCAGGCAGTACAAGTCTAATACGCGAAGTACACTTCCGCATCTCCAGCTCGAAAATCGCAACTGTGCAGTACAAGTCTAGTACGCGAAGTACACTTCCGCATCTCCAGCTCAAAAATCACAACTTTGTCGCGCAAGTCTAGTACGCGAAGTACACTTCCGCAGCTCCAGCTCGAAAATCGCAACTTCGTAGTACAAGTCTAGTACGCGAAGTACACTTCCGCATCTCCAGCTCGAAAATCGCAACTTTGTAGTACAAGTCTAGTACGCGAAGTACACTTCCGCATCTCCAGCTCGAAAATCGCAACTTTGTAGTACAAGTCTAGTACGCGAAGTACACTTCCGCATCTCCAGCTCGAAAATCGCAACTTTGTAGTACAAGTCTAGTACGCGAAGTACACTTCCGCATCTCCAGCTCGATCATCGCAACTTTGTAGTACAAGTCTAGTACACGAAGTACACTTCCGCATCTTCAGCTCGAAAATCGTAACTTTGTAGTACAAGTCTAGTACGCGAAGTACACTTCCGCAGCTCCAGCTCGAAAATCGCAACTTTGTAGTACAAGCCTAGTACGCGAAGTACACTTCCGCATCTCCAGCTCGAAAATCGCAACTTTGTAGTACAAGTCTAGTACGCGAAGTACACTTCCGCATCTCCAGCTCGAAAATCGCAACTTTGTAGTACAAGTCTAGTACGCGAAGTACACTTCCGCATCTCCAGCTCGAAAATCGCAACTTTGTAGTACAAGTCTAGTACACGAAGTACACTTCCGCATCTCAGCAGCTCAAGAGTAAAGTCACTTCCGCAGCTCCAGCTCGAAAAACTTTGTAGTACAAGTCTAGTACGCGAAGTACACTTCCGTCCAGAAAATCGCAACTTTGTAGTACAAGTCTAGTACGCGAAGTACACTTCCGCAGCTCGAAAATCGCAACTTTGTAGTACAAGTCTAGTACGCGAAGTCCAACTTTGTAGTCTAGTACAAGTACACTTCCGCAGCTCGAAATTCGCAACTTTGTAGTACAAGTCTAGTACGCGAAGTACACTTCCGCATCTTCAGATCGAAAATCGCAACTTTGTAGTACAAGTCTAGTACGCGAAGTACACTTCCGCATCTTCAGCTCGAAAATCGCAACTTTGTAATACAAGTCTAGTACGCGAAGTACACTTCCGCATCTCCAGCTCGATCATCGCAACTTTGTAGTACAAGTCTAGTACACGAAGTACACTTCCGCATCTTCAGCTCGAAAATCGTAACTTTGTAGTACAAGTCTAGTACGCGAAGTACACTTCCGCATCTCCAGCTCGAAAATCGCAACTTTGTAGTACAAGTCTAGTACGCGAAGTACACTTCCGCAGCTCCAGCTCGAAAATCGCAACTTTGTAGTACAAGTCTAGTACGCGAAGTACACTTCCGCAGCTCCAGCTCGAAAATCGCAACTTTGTAGTACAAGTCTAGTACGCGAAGTACACTTCCGCATCTCCAGCTCGAAAATCGCAACTTTGTAGTACAAGTCTAGTACGCGAAGTACACTTCCGCATCTCCAGCTCGAAAATCGCAACTTTGTAGTACAAGTCTAGTACGCGAAGTACACTTCCGCAGCTCCAGCTCGAAAATCGCAACTTTGAAGTACAAGTCTAGTACGCGAAGTACACTTCCGCATCTCCAGCTCGAAAATCGCAACTTTGTAGTACAAGTCTAGTACGCGAAGTACACTTCCGCATCTCCAGCTCGAAAATCGCAACTTTGTAGTACAAGTCTAGTACGCGAAGTACACTTCCGCAGCTCCAGCTCGAAAATCGCAACTTTGTAATACAAGTCTAGTACGCGAAGTACACTTCCGCATCTCCAGCTCGAAATTCGCAACTTTGTAGTACAAGTCTAGTACGCGAAGTACACTTCCGCATCTTCAGATCGAAAATCGTAACTTTGTAATACAAGTCTAGTACGCGAAGTACACTTCCGCATCTCCAGCTCGAAAATCGCAACTTTGTAGTACAAGTCTAGTACGCGAAGTACACTTCCGCAGCTCCAGCTCGAAAATCGCAACTTTGTAGTACAAGTCTAGTACGCGAAGTACACTTCCGCATCTCCAGCTCGAAAATCGTAACTTTGTAGTACAAGTCTAGTACGCGAAGTACACTTCCGCAGCTCCAGCTCGAAAATCGCAACTTTGTAGTACAAGTCTAGTACGCGAAGTACACTTCCGCAGCTCCAGCTCGAAAATCGCAACTTTGTAGTACAAGTCTAGTACGCGAAGTACACTTCCGCATCTCCAGCTCGAAAATCGCAACTTTGTAGTGCAAGTCTAGTACGCGAAGTACACTTCCGCCTCTGCAGCTCGAAAATCGCAACTTTGTAGTACAAGTCTAGTACGCGAAGTACACTTCCGCAGCTCCAGCTCGAAATTCGCAACTTTGTAGTACAAGTCTAGTACGCGAAGAACACTTCCGCAGCTCCAGCTCGAAAATCGCAGCTTTGTAGTACAAGCCTAGGCTGTACGCGAAGTACACTTCCGCATCTCCAGCTCGAAAATCGCAACTTCTCAGTACAAGTGTCGTATTTACAGAGCCGTGTGTTCGTTAAGGGTCATCGTTTTTGGGGGAGACCTCATCGTTTTCCATGGTTTTGGGATGTGTTACTCAAAAGCGTGCCCCGTCTTGATAAAGTGGTCTACGCGTGTTTTGTCCGTGGCTCATATATATGTGCAACAGACACATACAACACATACACACACGCACAGACACAGACACAGACACAAACACAGACACAGACACAGACAAAGACACAGACACAGACATTCGCACAGACACAGGCACAGCCGCAGACGCAGACGCAGACGCAGACGCAGACACAGACACAGACACAGACACAGACACAGACACAGACACAGACACAGACACAGACACAGACACAGACACAGACACAGACACAGACACAGACACAGACACAGACACAGACACAGACACAGACACAGACACAGACACAGACACAGACACAGACGCAGACAGACGCAGACGCAGACACACACACACACACACACACACACACACACACACACCCACACACCCACACACCCACACACACACACCACACACCACACACACACGCACACGCACACGCGCACACGCCCACACCCACACCCACACCCACACGCACACGCACACGCACACGCACACGCACACGCACACGCACACGCACAGACACAGACACAGACACAGACACAGACACAGACACAGACACAGACACAGACACAGACACAGACACAGACACAGACACAGACACAGACACAGACACAGACACTGACACAGACACAGACACAGACACAGACACAGACACAGACACACACCCACGCGCACACCCACACGCACACCCACACGCACAGGCACAGGCACAAGCACCAATAAAACGCACACGCACAGACGCACGCACACGCACACGCACATGCACGCGCAGCGTGAGCGTAGAATGCCGTCAGGATAGGTGTCCCTATAACCCAGTTCCCCTGACAACTCAGACTTGCATTCACAGGCCGATCCAAAGGTGCCAGAAGAATTGTGGTTCACGCCGCCTCAATCCCGCGACGCGAGTGGCTTATTACTCCTTAGCATCGAGCGATTGATTTCGGGATCTTTCTAGAAAGAATCGTGTATGCCCCAGCAAGCCCTGGCAGGGCATACAACAAGATTCCTTTAGAATTCTCAAAAGGGTTCAGTTGAGGTCGAATCTTTGGAGCTTGAGTCCTCTTGTCCTGGGAATCAACGGATTGATTTGTTCAAGACAACACCGTTGCGAAAGCCTCGACAACGGACTGCTGCTAGGGTCCAGTATCATCCAAACCCAGCTGGCTTAGCTCAAAACAGACGTTCAATCGGAACCAACTTGGCTATGAACCACATTTACCAGACCCAACCCAAGTGTTTGAGCCATTTTGAAAGAACTCTCTGCTCCCATCTTCCCCAACAAACCTTCTCCTTCCCTAGCCTCCCGTTACCACCCGTTTGGCCCCCCGCAAAACACACCACCCACCGACCTCGTCTTGGCTAGTTCTCAATAGGGAACAAAAGAATGATCCCTATAAACAACCCCCGATTTGGTTTCCTACAGAACCCCCTTCCGGTTCCTTCCCAAAACCCGGAACTCGATCATTCCCTACCTATCGCACGGATTTCGTTTCGCCGTTTCGCCAGGCGACCGTCAGGGAGATGAGGTCCCGCACATCCCGGCGCCACAGCTCCGCCTGCTCTACCCGGAACTTCTGCACCTCGCGCGGTATTTGTGTCGTGTTCGTGTGGACCCCAAGGGAAACAGCAGGTTTTGGAGCCTCCCCAACTTCACACACAAGTAGACAAGTTCCACGTACGAAATCATGGCGGCTCGGGGTTGTTCCAGGTGACTTTAAAGGTTCTGCAGAGGTTTGAAGGAAAGTAGTTTGTCATGGCTTGCAACCGTCGCGGAGATGGGTGCAAGCGCGGTGCATGTAATGAAGATCAAACCATTCTGAATCGCTGCAAGGAGTGATGCAGCTCATACACCGCCAGCAATGTTTGCCATCATTCATTGGACAAAGGCTTGTTTATAATATGGGATTGCTCAGTCATCAGGTCAACAAACATGTAAAAGCTGCGGACCCTCCAAATGAATATTTGGACTGCCCTGATGAGGCCATCAAGGCAAAGAAAATATATAGTTCTATACTTTCCGCAACAGGTTGGCGGACAGGTTGCACAGTTGCTTACCAAAAAGACATGCGCACACACACACACACAGGCCTCGTGCTTGAGAATTGAAAAGAGTAGCAACAGTGCAGATTCGCAATCGCATGACTTATCCTCGGAATGAGCTTCATTGCTTCAATGCTGAGCAATCTATAACAAGCTAAAAAGGCATGCATGTTGCCCAGCTTTGCTCGACAAAGAAGCACCAGATGGAAAACGGGCTGAACCTCGCACCTGGTTCAGTTGGCAGGGCGTGGCCCGCCACCGAGTTGTTCGTTTTTTGCTATTGGAAGGAGAACCACTACGCTGCTAACAGTTCACAGGGTCGAGTCTGGACTCATTTTCTGGATGTTGCCGGGCTGCTGAACCGCCCCGTTTTGGCGAATTTTTCACACTGGAACAACTCGGAGCAGTGAACGCGTGGGATCGAGTTTCACCCCCCGGAGTTAACAAGAAGCAAGTCCAGTGCTGGGATCCCGCGCCATAAACTCTTTTCTCCTCCGCAGGGATCGATCATAGAGGAAGTTCTCCCGGTTGTATTGGTAGGCCTCCTGGCTTTTTTTTTCCATTCATGTGGCTGTCAAAACATCCGCACACACAAATGCGTCATATGTGTATAAATAGGTATACACACGCGCACACACACACACACATCTCTACGGACAAATGCATACCAGCATGGCTATGTATGTAAATCATGAGGTTTGCCGCTCCATTCGACCCCTTTTGTAGTAGACACCAAAATGGACCATCCTATTCAATGGATCGGCACGCTGTGGTTGTTGTGGGACTCCCCACCCAAACCGCCGGTGTGGCAAGCCTGGCGAGCCGCATTGGTTACCGTCATGGCCTTTGCAAATCAAAAGGACTTCTGCACCGTTGCAAGATAGGATCCGAACGAACGCATCTTGAACAGTCCAAAGCATTGCAACAACAATTGCAACATCCATCAGTGCTGCAGTTTTCCAAACGCCTAATTGCAAAACTGTCACGGATGTCCTCGCGGAGGTGCGTATGGCATATTTACTGATACGATCTTGCAATTGCCAAAGGCTGTTCCTTGAGTATGAATTGACCCTCCAATCGGAGGACGCACAACTCAAGACAACGCAGAGATTTGCCAAGTTTTCGCTTTCAACCCTCCTGCCGTCTCCCTCCTGCTGTCTCGCAAAGCTGACATAATGAATCCGCTTCCGCTGCCCACTGGGTGGGGCAGGATGGCCACTTTGTTTCTTAAGTTTGACGGAACAGGGACCTCACTCTTCGGCAGCTCCCCTTGCTCTCCATCAACTCAGTTGCCGAAGCTTGTGCTCTTGAGCCTGTTGAAGCTGTCCCTCACATTTGCAGTAGCCCAGAGGGGGCCCCAATACGGTCACCATAGGGAGATCTTCTGCCAGATTGTAGAAGAAAATCATCCTACACTCCTGAGGGCCATGCAGCTGGAGTTGCGAGATTAGAAACGAAGATCATTTGAATGAACTAGCTTTCAATGATCTGGCAGAAGGTACCCAAGATTCCCCAAGTCAAGGATGTACTTGGCAAGCTCGCCAATAAATCTGCAGATGCCAGTTTGGACATCTACTGCCGACATTTCTAAGGTGGGAGTCGAGGAACCAATTCGCCAGGACTCTGGTTGAAAAGAATGGCAAGTCAAAGCTACGGTTGCATGATTGCCAGATTTGCCTTTGACAGATTTGCCATCGGCAATGTGTTGGAGGTGCGATAGTACATTCAAGTGCACACCTGACGCACATTTACATGTCTGCCATGTGTGCTACGGAACGCATCGTTGACACCTTACTTTGGCTTCGCCCGAGCGAACTTAACAAACATTGGCAACACGAGCGCGCTTGCCAAATATTACTGCCCTCTCCATGCCTTCAGGAAACAAGAGCAAACGTCTGCGAAAGCAGCTAGGACTTCTGATCACTGGGATATCTTGAGTTAGAAAAGACTCGATTTCCCTTCCCATGCAACTGGAACTCGGGGTAATGCGATGCTAGCCTCCAAGAAAGCCAGATACCCTCCCAAACGAAAACACGGAACCTGCACAGGGGGCGCTTAAAAGGAACATTTGTCTTCCAGGAACCCCTGTAGTTCTATGTTTGCTTTGGGAATTCAACAAGTGCGATTCGCAACCGAATGTCCAGAAATCAAAAGAATCCGGTGACACACCGATCGCCACTCACATGTGCAAAAAGCTCATGTGAAACCCGCTGTGTTTTAATCTTTCGGGATGTTCAATGAAGCCAAACTGCAAAAGCTTTAAAACCTCAGCTTCCTCGAAGCAATAGAAACATCAAGTCCTTGGCGGCAAAGCCACCGGCGGCAGTGACACCCGCGAAGCATTCCATGGCCGTAGAGGTGTCGGCCAATAGCCGATTGCCTCAAATCGCTCCGGCAGTACCATTTGACCCACCTTTCAAAGACTGGGAGAATTGTTTTTCTTCAGAAGCATTACTTTTTACGACTGGAGAGGGCATACGGCACTGTGAGAAACCTGCTTTGTAGCTCAAGATGCTGTAAGCCTGTCACCGGCCCGCCAGCAACAGTAGCCTCCGCATATCCAAGATGAGTCAAAGTCAAAAATCCGCCAGCGCCGGCCATGACAGCCTCTTTACAACAGCACCTGATGAAGAGTGCCGTTTCCTCATACAGCGGCCTGCTTGAGAGCAACGCAATACAAACTGGGATCTTCACAGAAAGTGGCGTCTCTAGAACCTTCGACTGTTCACAACAGGACAACTCTTGTGACCGGAAGCTGGTGTTGTCTCGCGACAAGCAAGGGTTCCAGTAGCCACTTGTCTGTCGGCAAACCACACCATCCCACAAGCTGACGACACATCGGCAAATGGCAGCAAACATCTCTCATGTCGCCGGACTCTTCCAGCACCTAGCCTCAAGTGCGGCCTAACTCACTTCCCCCTCCCAGCTACACGGCGAGATCCGAGATCCGTCCGAGGTGCTGCGTTAGGTGGGGGACTGCAGTGCCCGCTGTCTGAGAGCGGGGCAAAAGTGAACGTCACTATCGGACTGACATTGCCTGGAGGCCCATGACTTGAGCCTGCATGGCTGTTCAGCATGTGGCAGTTCCAGAGAAATGAAATGGTCTAGCTTGGTTTGATGTCCAAACTTGGTGGTGCTTGGAATCTTGTCCCGAAGTTTTGCTGATGCGCCAGGACATCGTCAATCACCCTGCAAGGACCCTGCGCTCCCCCTCCCACCTCCCAGCTCCCAGCTCCCAGCTCCCAGCTCGCACCGCGAGCAAAGCCGCGGTTTCCCCGAGCACCACAAACGACAAACGCTGCCACCCAGTTGTCACATTGCCACGTGGGCCGTGAGCAAGACAAAGCGTCCATGCCTCGTTTGCACGAGCATAGGAGAGTAGCTAGGCATCCTGGGTCCAAGTCTGGCTCGGCAAAATAAGGAAGCGACAAAGGGACGATTGGCCGCGCCTGATTGAAATGCCAAGATCAACCACACAGACATGACTCCACTGACTCGGAAGAACATATTTATCAAACATGTTCACTTTGCTGCGCACTCTCAAAGCCGCCTTTTCAGTGAAACCCAAGAAGAACGCGCGTTAAAGGAAATTTCTCATGGAGTTTCTAAAGCCGCTGTGAACAGAACCTTTTCGACCAATTGCAGATTGACCAAGTACCCTTTTTCGCAACACATCGATCGCCTCTCGCAACGATTTTCCCGGCGAAGAGAACCTCCCCAGTCCAATGGCCTGGCAAGGTGTGGTTCTTTCGGCGGAGGAAGGGCGAGTCCATGACCAGAGGCACCCGAGTCCGGTGCAGCTCGCTCCGGAGCTTTTCTGCCTGGAGCGACCCCGGTCAGGTCACCCAAATAGTGGCTGAGCTCAGCCCTAAAACGCGTGGGCTCACCGTGTTCACCGCAAAAAGGGGGGGGGGGGGTCCTTTTGGTTTCCCTTGAGCCTGGAAAGGGCGCACACCAAGGTGTACAAGGCTTGTTACCAGAAAGAATCAGCCAAACATGACACACCTAGAAAGCGACAGGCTTCTTCCTTTGTACCTGACCGCTTGGTACTGAGTGCGGTCCGCCATGCAAAATCTCGCTTGGGTTCTAAACCGCAAGTCCAAGCTTGACTTTGTGCCTCGTCCGGACACCAAAAGTTGGAAAGTGAGCAGGAGACATCCCAAAAACACGCTTTCCACGAACGCCCCGTGCACTGCCAAAAGAATCACACCTGTACATCGTCAAGGTTGGCATCCACGCATAATGTAAGCATTGCAAGCAACCATCCTTGAACATGCTGAAGACATACAACATATGTACGGGAATATGTATCTATATATATATATATATATGTATATAGAGATAGATACATGCATATAATATGTATATGTATATGTATATGTATATGTATATATATATATATATATATGCGTACAAACATGAAGCCGAAACTATCTCGCGCCCGCACCGACGCAAGCGGGTTAAAAACGCACACTCACACTCAGACTCACACTCATCCTCAACCTCACCCTCACCCTCACCCTCACCCTCACACACACACACACACACACGTCCTTCAAACCAATTGAGCACATGTCCTTCAAACCAAACGGTGAACCATCCAATCCACGATCCCAGCCCTACCGCACCTGCCAATTCCCCCTCAAGGGACCTTCATGGATATCGCGCCTATCCCATGGGTATTGCGCCTATCCCAAGCAGTGAGCTCATTTTATGCCCAGCCCGATCCCTGCTTTTCGCCATACCATACTCAGGATCTCCCACAACTGAAGTTCCAGGAGCTGGTTCCCTCCTTTGGGACTACAGCGCTTGAACTTGCTTGAACTTGCGAGTTCCGAAGTTTTTGGCTCAAGACTTTGATCTCCGGCTTGCAAGATCACTCTTCCAATTCCTGTCACCCCAAGTGGGACCTCCAATTCAACTCCTTTCCCCAAAAAAAAACAAATGGAGAATAACAAAAAACCTTTCACCCGATCCCAACGGCCCCTGAGAAAAAAATCGCGGGGCTCGACCTCTCCCCGCGCCAAGGCGCCTTGCAGCGGAGCCGCAGCGGTAGCTTCGCCAAGGTCTCCAGGCGCTGCTGCAGCCAGCAGCCCTTCTGCTTCAGCGCCTCTTTCAGCGCCTGGGAGGCGCTGAGGCGCTAAGCAGACGTCGCTTGGCCCGATGGCCCGATCGGCGGTCGGCGGTCGGCGGTCGGCGGTCGGCGGTTGTTTGGGGAGGGCCTTTCCGTTTTGGAAAGGCCTTTAAAGGGGAAAATGCTTGGAAGAAATCCCGGGAAAGGAAGTGAAAGTTTGGGATTTGGGAGGATATTTGAAAGAACATTGGGAACACGAGGGGATGCGTCCAACAAACCCATGTTTTGTTGACCTTGCCTTTTGCCTCGCCCGACAAACAGGTTGGAGATCGAACAAGCAGGGCCCGCAATTGCAAGGACGACGGACAATTTACCCGTACAATTCCGGTAGAAATTTGAAATGGAATGTTTGGGATTGTTGTACGTTATGAATTCAATTGAAGCACCCTCATTGCAAGCAACGTCGCTGGACATAAATCCGCTTGTGAATGCTTTGCTGTTTTGCATGAGTCCGGGGGTTGGGGGCTGAGAAAAACTGAACAAAAACAAATCCCACACATCCGCAAGTTAGCCATTTGGGGAGGTTGAAAGGACGGTTGGGGGGTTGGGGCAGGCTCCTGGAGAGCTCTGGGCACGAGCTTGATACTCCCGGGCGCATTCTTCTTGATTTTTCGGCGACGGGGTTAATGGGCAACCAGTAGCTTCTAGCTTGGCGGGAAACCAACGTTCATCCTACTAAACTGATCACTGGCCCAAACACTTGGTTG